GGGAAGCGCAGGGCTTAAATGGCTGCTTGCGCTGCTTGCTCCCGTGCGGCGGCCCGGCTGAGCGGCGCAGAAGTCAGCCGAGCGCCACGGCAGGAGGCAACAGCTCCACCCAGAGGGAACAGCCAGGGGATGGGGCCTGGACGAGTGTGCGTCTCTGACGACAGGAAAGGGCGCCGGATTCAAGAGGAGGAAAGCGGAGCAGACACAGAGGAGGCGAAGGAGACAGAGAGGAGGCGGAGGACAGCGAGAGAGAGAGTGAGAGAGACACAGCAGAAGGAGGAGAAGAGAAACACAGAAGGGGAGAAGAGAAAGAGAGAGAGAAGGAGAGAGAAGCAGGAGTCAGACGAGAGCTGAGAGAGAGAGAGAGAGAGAGGGCGAGGCAGTAGGAGGAGAAGAGAGAGAGAGGCCGTTTGCACTGCTTCCTCCCACGTGGCGGCCCGGCTGAGCAGCGCAGAAGTCAGCCGAGTGCCATGGCGGGAGGCGAAGGGGGCAGAGCAGTGACGTACACGCCCAGCGGGCGGGGCCTGGATGAGCATGCATCCCCGAGGGTGACAGAGGAGAGCGGAGAGAGACAGGGAGAGGCAGTAGGAGGAGGAGAGAAAGAGAGATGGAGTGAGAGACCGGAGGCTCAGGAGAGAAGACCGACGTGGAGGAGAGACCTGAAAATCCCGTCTTATGACGGGCTAATTGGCTAGTTAACATAAAAATGGCCATACCAGGCTAAACTAAAGTCCGTTCAGCCCAGCGTCCTGTCTTTGGACAGTGGCCAGTGGCAGATGCCCCAGAGGGAGTGAACAGAACAAGGAATCATCAAATGATCCCTTTCCTGTTAACCATTTCCAGTATCTGACAAACAGAGACTAGGGACACCATTCCTGCCATCCTGGCTAATAAGTATTGACGGTCCTATCCTCCATGAGTTTATCTAGCTCTTTTTTGAACCCTGTTACAGTCCTGGTCTTCACAACATCCACTGGCGAGGAGTTCCACAGGTTGACTGTGCGCTGTGTGAATTAAAAATTCCTTTTGTTTGTTTTAAACCTGCTACCTATTAATTTCATTTGGTAATCCCTACTTCTTGTGTTATGGGAACAAGTAAATAACTTTTCCTTATTCACTTTCTCCACACCAATCATGATTTTATAGACCTCTATCATATGCCCCCTTAGTCTCCTCTTTTCTAAGCTGACAAGTCCCAGTCTTTTTAATCTCTCTTCATATGACACCTGTTCCAAGGTCATTGCCATTATCCACATTGCCTCTATGGGGAACTGAGGCACAGAGAGATTGAGGTTTATGTATACACAGCAGCAGGGAGGTATAATTCCCAGCTCGGTGAGACGTACACACACTAGCTTTGACTGAGCTAGTGCCTAGCAATAGTCATGCAACCACAAGCCAACTGCCAAGTCCATGCTCAGGGTTCTGAACAGGACTAGCCCAAGGCACTGAGGCCCACTGCTTGTTAGCACTGTAGCTTGATCAAAGCTACCTTTTGGCATTGGAAAAGGTTCAGAAAAGGGCAACAAAAATGATTAGGGTTTTGGAATGGGTCACCAAATGAAATTAATAAGTAGCAGGTTTAAAAGAAACAAGAGGAAGTTTTTCTTCACACCGCGCACAGTCAACTTGTGGAACTCCTTGCCAATGGATGTTGTGAAGACCAGGACTGTAACAGGGTTCAAAAAAGAGCTAGATAAACTCGTGGAGGTTAGGTCCATCAATGGCTATTAGAAATGGTGTTCCTAGCCTTTGTTTGTCTGGAAATGGATGACCAGAAAGGGATCACATGAGGATTCCTTGTTCTGTTCCCTCCCTCTGGGGCATCTGGCACTGGCTACAATCAGCAGACAGGATACTGGGCTAGAGGGACCTCTGGTCTGACCCAGTATAGCAGTTCTTATATTCTTATGTTCTCATGCACATCTATCCAAGCTGGGGATTTGACCTGCCCCTTGCAGTGATGTACCCTACTGGGGACCTCACAGACCAGCGTGTTCTTTTGCTTTTCACACTCATCCAGGTGGCGAAAATACTTTGTGCCAAATTCCCTCCTGTAGGAAACAAAGCTCTCCCAATGTCATGGGTCACGCCCGCCAGCGGGAAAGGAGGCAACTTCCATCTCAAAAAACCACTCCCTGCCATGGCACCCAAAGTCCCT